CCCCCCCCTCCCCCAGTTCGTGCAGGCCACCGCCTCAAGCAAGGTAGCGTTTCCGCAGGGGCTGCGCTTGGGAGGAGGATTCAGCCTGGGGGGTTGGCGGCAGGCAGAGAAGCGCTGGGGCGGGTGGAGGTCGTGCTCCAGAGCCTTTGCTCCTTCTCCCTTCCGCGCTCCAGAGGGAAGGGGGGATTCGGAGGGCGGGCGTGCGCAGCGACAGGCTGCGCGGTGCGCGCTGAGGCTCCTTTCGCCTGCCTGAGCTCAGAAGAAAGGCCAGGCTGGTGCGCGTGAAAGAAGAACTCGCCTCCAGCCCTACCTTAGCTGGCGCAGCCCTTCAGCAGAGCACGTCCTGTGTTGGCTGCGTAGCCTTGCACTCGAGTTCTTCACCGCCCTCATCTCTGCTCGCTCTCGCGGTATTTTCCAGCTTCAGGAGCTGCTGTTCACCCCCCGAGCCGCGGCGCTGCTCGGGAGGTCGCTGCTCCTGACCTGCCCCGGCTGCAGGGGAGCACGGTGAAAGAAGCGAGGCGAAGCGGTGGTACGGGGCGGGCGAAGAGCGCGCGCCGCCGGGCGCTGTGGGCCGCGTCCAGCCCCCGTTAAGCTGCCGTACCCCGACCGCGCGCTGTCCTCCCTAGCAGGGCTCGGGAACACGGGCCGTACGCGGCTGGGCTGCCCGGATAGCTAGGAAAAGCCGCGATTCAGGGCCCGTGATGCCCGCTGACACCACCTCAGGTGGCAGACCGTCTGGCTGGCTGCGCGAATCGGGTTAAATCCGATTCTTGGCAAGGGGAGGCCCGGACGCCTTTCCCCGGGCGGGTCTTCCCCTCTCCTACTCTAAAACCTGCGGCTGCAGCTGGGTCTTTAAGTTAAAGCACTAGCTCAGCCGGAATCCGTTTGAAACCCGCACGCAGTATTTTGTAGGTCGCAAGCCACCGAAACGTGGAGATCCCGCTGAAGGGCAGGTCTCCTCGGGCCCACGGCCGCTTTGCCGCTCTCGGCGGTGCTGCCCTCGGGCCTTTCGCCCTACGCGTTGTTCTTCCACCAGGCGGCCCAGAAAAAGCCCCGTCCAGGTTGCGCGTTAACTGGCTCTCCGCCCCCTGATGTTGCAACGTGTCAGTAGTCATCGGAGGAGCAGGGTAAATAGCGTTAACACCGGGGACAGATGCAAATATTTAGCTTCTCCGCACACTCTGTATGCAGCCACCAGTGAGCAGCTTTTGCCCTCCTTGATCTGCCCTTGAAAACAGAGCGTAGTCTTTTCGCCGTTCCAGGGAACAGTCCCGTCTCCTCTGAGCTTTGGGAGACTTTCTTCCCCCCGAAACGCGGTTAGAGCTCGCGACTGGATTGTTCCCTGGAGGTCGGAAATGAAACCATCTTAGCAAACCACAGCCGTAAAGCTCTTTGGGGAACTCTCCCCGTCTGCATCAAATGGTTCTTAAACAGCTAATGGCACAGACTT